TTCCTGCCCCCTCTGTCTCCCTCCTGCCCTCTCTGTCCCCTCCTGCCCCTCCTGCCTCCATGTTCTGGGCTCCCTACTCCTCCCCAAACACCAGCTCTTTCCAGCTCCCTCCACCTGCTGACCTTTAGGCAAGCCTCACAGCCCAGTTTAGTACTCGGCCCAAAGCCCCCTCCCCGGGGCTGCTCACTCAGAGCAGAGAGGCCACAACCACCCTCAGACACAGGGTTAGAGAAGAGCAAATGGCCAGATCGGGGTCTGAGGCCTGAGGGACGCCTCCCTAGACCCCCGGGGTGGAGGACAGGGGAGTGGCCAGGCTGCAGCCCCACTCCAGGATGGGGGGGGGCGGGTCTAATGACACCCAAGAAGGAAGCTCATCCCCACCCCTGTGGACTGAATGGAATGGGGACAGCAAACTGGACCTATCCCTCAGGTGCCCAGGGGGGCAAGGTCCACAGGTAACGCCTGCCCTGGGCAGGAGGGGTGGGCAGCACTGGTGGGGTGGCCATGCCTGGGCACCGGGGTCCAGCCCTGGCCCCCCACCACTCCCGCTGACCCATTCGGGCCTCATGATGATAACTGGCCACTTGAATACACAGGGCGTCAGCTGGCAGCCTGGGAGAAACAGGTGACAAGGATGCACACAACCCAGCTCTGGGGGCAAAGACCACCCCTCCCAGGAGCCCCTGGCCCCGGCAAGGTGGGGAAGGACAGCAGCAGCCTGCCTGCCGCCTCAGTCACTGGGAAGCTCAGGACCATGACCACGGGGAAAACCAGGTGGAGGCCGGGAGAGGCCGTCCAGAGGCCACGGCACACCGCTCCCGAAGAGTCCTGCCCCCCTGCCCACCCTGCGCTGAAAGCTCCATCATCTCCTGTCGCAGAGGCCACCGTGTCCCCATGACCCCGGAGCAGCCAATGACCTGGTCAGTCTGGAGCCTAGCCACCCGAGGTGCAAGGCGTGCGTGTGTGTTTCCGTGGGCGCGCACACACGTGTCTACACATGTGCCCCCGGGCAGGAAGGGGCCGTCCCACTGCAGGCCTTACCAGCTGGATGATGTTGGACACGCTGAGCCAGTTGGCCTGCTTAATGTTCTCGCCTCCTTCCACGAGGCCCTCGTAGCCCTGAAACCAGAGAGGGACGGGGCGAGACAGGCGCCCCACAGCACCGTCGGCTGCGGGCAGGGCACTGGGGTGTTTTGCCCAAACCCCGTCTGGCTGGAAGTGGGCCCACGGGTCCTGCCCCCCGAGGTCCCCCCGCCAAGCCCCGGGCCCTGGGTGATGAAGCGGGGTGGCCAGCAGCCAGCGGTCACGGGCTGTTGGCTGGAGAGACCCAGGTGCCCAGCTGGTCCTTCCAGAACACCCTCTGCAGGGCTCGAGAGCCTATTTACCAGAGAGTTTACACAGGGCAGAGGCTGGTGTTGGAGCCGGCCGCCTGCTGAGTTCTGGAGCCAAGCACACCAGGCCACCCAGACCAGCAACATAACGAGCCCAGTGCCCAGCGGCCCTCTGCCCGGGACCCTCGTCACAGAGGAGGCCGCCATCCTGCCTCCTAAAGGGATTGATTGGATGGGGTGGGGGGATGGCGGGGGGACAGCCAGAGTGTCTGCTCTTGAGTCTGGCTCCTCCCCCTCAGCCCGGTGTCTGCACGGGTCCCTGTCATCGTGCGGTCCCACAGGGCTGCGATCCGTCCGCTGCTGATGGGCATGTGGGAGGTCTCCAGTTTGAGGCTTAGAGACGAGGCTGCTGAGAACACGCACGCCCAAGGGGGATGCCCGTGGTCTCCTGGTGCGTGAGCAGCGGACCGCATGGCCACACATGCTCGTGGTCCCCTCCCCGCCCACCAGCAACTTGGCCGGGACTTCTGGGCCAGTCTCCATCCCGGGGGGCTGCGCGTCAGTCCCTGCAGGTGGTTCTGGCTTGACTTCCCTGACGGCCCTGTGCTACTTCCTTGGGACACAAGCCACCTGCCTCCTGGACGGCCCTGGGAGGAGGCCTGTTCTGCCATCAGGGGGCCCACCCGTCTTAACTGGAGGTCTCCATACCGTCCGGACGTAAGGCACGTGCACTTATAAACAACGAAAAGACTCAGCCCCACTGCGCTGAGAGGAACGGGGCCACCGCCTCCCTGCAGCCCTCCCAGCTCCTCCAGTGAAGCCGTGAGTGAGCCACTGTCCTGCCTGGGGCCAGAGCCCAGTGTGGCTCTGGATATCTGCCCCGTCCCCTCTGCTTCGTCCCCTCCAGCCAGTTCACCCTGTTTCATCACCCGGGGCTGCAGGGTCTTGGGCGGACAGGGCAAATGGTCCCATTCCTGGGGGTGGAGGTGGGGGGCAGGTACCCCCCCGCCAGGAGCCAGAACCAGAAGAAGGCCCTTGGGGCCACAGACGGACCGCGGCCCCCAGTCTGAGGGCCACCAAGCTACTTTCTCCCACTTAGGCCAGGCCAGGACCTTTACCCCTCCCTGCCTCCCCGACTCCTTCCAGAATTTTCTGCCACTAGGACACAAGCCAGCCCCTCCCCACAACCCGTGCAGAAAAAGGCAGGAAAGTGACCTGAAAACCCGCAGCAGACCCTGCCCAGAGCAAGCAGCTACAAACAGGCAGACCTCAGTCTGCAAAAGCCCAGGACTGGGCACCGAGCCCAAGCAGAGTGCTGGTCTGTCCCCTGCCCCACTGTGCGCCCAGCATCCCCGGGAACCCCGAGACAGCCGGTCAGCTCAGCTGAAATCAAAGTCTGACTGGCACAACTGTCCTTTCCTAGCCTCGGAACCTTCTAGAATGTCTTTGCATGCTCCTATGCACTTCGTATCACCCCGCCCCCCAAGCCTTCTCCCTCTCCAGCCCCTCGTGCGGGCCCAGCCCTCTGGCGGCAAATCTGTGAGGTCTGGTGTTGGTTCCTGGGCCAGTAAAAGCAATCCCTCTTCCTGAGCCCTCGTGGTGTCACGACTGTGTGACGAGTGCTTTCACTCACGATGTCACAGCAGTTGTGCCCCGACATCCCCACCTAACAGAAGAAACGGAGGTCACGGAGATGAAGGACACACCTGTCACGCGCACACAAGCCCAGGGAGGAGGGGCGGGGCCTCCCTATCTGGAGGCTGCTTGTCCATGGAATGAGGCCACTCCCTTGAGAATCCCACCCTGTCCCCCAGAACATTCTAGACCATTACCAGGGCGTGGGCCCCTCCTGAGACTTTGAGACCTGGGGCTTTGCAGGAGCCCAGCCACCCAAGCCTGGTCGGAGGGTCCAGAGCCCCATGGGAGGGGGCTGCCTAGCCGCTGGCTCATTCACTGCCTCCGACATCCCTGCACCACCCAGCGCAGGGTGTGGACCCGCCTACCCTGGGGCGGGGGTGAAGGGGCCACGCACGGTGGCAGGGAAGATCGGGGTCGCTACAGTTTGCTACAGTCCTAGTCAAAAGTGAAAACAAAGTAACACAACACAGGCAACACAGTGCAAGGGATTCCACATGTGCGGGTGTGGGGGCACCAGGCTGGAGGGAAGGGTCACCCCAAACCTGAAATAGGTGGGGGGAGGGCAAGGGGCCTCCATTCTGCAGAACAAAACGGAGCGAGGATGCTCTTGCCCCGAGATACTCTGTTACCCGGTGATACTCTGTTGCCCAGCTGTTATTACTAGGTAATTCACACACACGGTGTGCCCAGTGCTGCTAAGGGTGCAGGAGGGCTGAGTGGATGGAGGAAGCCAACAGAAGGACAACTGGTGGGGTTGAGGCCCCAAACCCCTGAGGGCCACAGCTTCCTACCCTCCTGCATGTCAAGGGCCACGGTCCCCCCCCACAAGCACCCAGGGTGGGCTCCTTACCCGCTCCCCAGAGCCAGGGCCCAGCCCCTCCCCGCCTGTCACGTCCTAACCAGCCCCCACGTCAGCATCCCTGCTCTCTAAACCACGACCAGTGGCCAGGTGGCCCAGTCCCTCCCCACTGTGCACGGCCCCCTTTAGTGGCGGTGTGGGGGCCAGAGACCCTGCACGGCGCCTCACCTCGTAGATAAGGAAGACTTTGGCTCCCACGTAGATGCCCATGCGCGTCACAGCTCTGACAGCCGCGTTCATACCTGCAAGGGGGTCGGGGCGACATCCATCAGTGGAGGTACAGACACGTCAGGACCCGGGGCCTTCCTCCCCTGAACCTCACAGGGCACCGAGCCAGGAGTTCGAGGTCCAGCCCCAGGGAGCCCGGTCAGGCGCAAGGTGAGCCGCAGCAGGAGCATTCGGAAGTGAGACGAGCCAGAGACCCAGACGAGCCATTCGGAAGTGGCCCGAGCCAGAGACCAGGTGTGTGCGAACGTTCCAGACCCTTTACCGCCTCATCCGCTCCCAGGTTCCCCGTGCGGCCCCCGCAGCTCAGCAGAGCGACCCCCGCCCCCTGCCCGCCTCCTAGACCCACAGGCCAGGCCCTGCCCTTGGGGGAGGACAACGAGGTGGGTGCTTGGCCCAAGATGAAAAGCAGGGGCCGTGAGACACAGGGCGGCACCTTCCAAACCCACCTCTCCCCCTCTGCTGCAGACCCCCCCCAGCCCATGGCACCGGGGGGCAGCTCAGGGAGCACACCAAGGACAGCGCCCACTGGCCCAAGGCCACAAGCTCCCTGCCCCCCACCCCCACCCCCGGGGGAGGGCTGTGAGCCAGGGAGAGGACGGTGCCCCCAGGGCAGCCTCTACCAGGGGACCCAGCAGCCTCAGGCAGTGTAGCTAAGTGGGCCCCAGCTCCCTCCCTCCAGCCCACAGGTGCAAACAGAAGCCACCAGACTCCAGCAGGACCCCCTCTTCCCCGTCACCCAGCCACACCCCCCTCCATGCCCTGGCAGCTGCCCGGGGGCAGGAGAAGGCGCAGCAGGAGGGAAATGCTCCACGCCCAGAGGAATCTCAGCCCCCTTCCTCACGGCTGGTTCTGAGACTGACAGCCACAGAGGGCAGAGGGGTCTGCTTGAGGTCCCCTCCACGGGGGTCGCGGGCCCCCACCGTGACCTTGGGCCCCAGCATACAGTGGTGCTTACGAGATGCAGTGCAGCTGTTGGGGGCGGCCCTGTGGGGGCTGCACAGTGGTCCCCCCGCTGCTCTCTGACGGTGGGACGGGGCCTGGCCCAGGGAGCAAGTGTCCCAGGGGCCACATGGTCACAGCGGCAGCCACGGAGGCTGGGCAAAGGCGCAAGGACCCTGCCCAGTGTCCCCAGAGCCACGCCCCCTGGGTCCCATGCTCTGACACTGGGTCTGGGGGCCAGATCACGGAGGTGCCCCGGGCTGGTCTCCCCCAGAGGACCACCCCCTGCTCGTCCCGCCTCCCTCCCTGGCGGTCCCCGCCCGGAGCACGCACACACGTCCCGTGCTGTCCCACGCTCACGGAGCCTTTTCCCTGGAGGAAGACTGGGCGCGTCCAAGCCCCCCGAGCCCCCCTCTCTGGCCCCTGAGCTGGTGGAGGCAGGCAGGGCCTATGTGCTCGGTGTCCTGCGGGGGCTCCACGGCGTCTGGGGTCCCTCCCAGTGTGTGGGCTCCTCGTGGTGACCCCGAAGTGACATCTCTGGCCCTTTACCCCGGTTACACAAGCCTCGCCGGGTGTGCGGCCTGGAAGGCAGTGGGGAGACAGCAGGCCCCAGACACCCCAGCTGCACGGCGGCCCTCAGGAGGAGCCAGTGTAGGCTCACGGCACGGGGCTCCCCGGAAAGCAGGTGCGCCCGCCACTCTCTCCATTCTACAGACGGGAAGCCAAGGTCTCAAAGGGAGGCTAGAGGACCTGGGGAGCCCCAGCGGGGGAGGCCAGCAGCAGGATGTACCCCGGACACCTCCTCAGTCACAGCGAGCGGAGGGTCCTGCTGCCCGATGTCCACTGCCAGGGGGTCCAAGTGCAGGGGCACCCAGATGTCGGGGGGCAGAGCACAGAGGCCAGCCAGGGCCCGAGCTGGCCACGCTCACAGCTTTCACGCTTGACTTTAGCGAGAGAACCCTATCGCTAAAGGAATCACAAATGTCCCATGAACCCCCAAAGGGAGGGAAGTGCAGTGTCAGAGAACAAAATCAGGGCAGGGGCCCAGAGGGCACCGCGCACCCGACAGCTGGGGTGCCCTCGATGAGACACCAGCATAGCGCCCTCCCCCCACGTCCCCACCCCAGCCCCGGGCCCCCAGCCAGACACCTGGCTCACTGGCCCTGGATGGCCCAGGCTTTCTGCTCCCTGGTACCCTGGGGCGAGGCCAGCTGGGGCCCACTGCGGGCTCAAGGTCCAAGCCCCACCTCTGACACAGGAGGTGAGGACAGAGGGCACAGGTGGGGACCGGGGGGTGGGAGGGCACAGGCTGGGGACCCAGGCCCACCGTCCAGCTGGAGGTCTCTCTGGGTGCCCCCGGCTGTGCGTGCCACTGGACGGGCCAGCCCTGCGGTCACGATTGTCTCACAGCCTGCCCGGCGGGCCCGCCTGGAGCCCCGGACAGCAAAGGGCCTCCGGGGCTATGCTAACACGTTCAGCCTTTCAGACCCGGTTCTGTCTCAGCGAGACTCAGAGCAGATCTGTGCTGTCCCCACGGAGGCCGGCCTGACTGAGGGCGGGTTGCCCCTGCCCTGTACACCTCCCTGTGCTGCGTCTTAAAAGGGCCTTTTAATTGTCCTTTAATCCGCTTTTCTTTCTCAAAATAAACCCAGCCCTA